CTTAGTTTTACGCGAATATTTGACATTTTAAATAAAACTATCTTTACGGAGTTTTTCGCGGATTTATTTTGATTTTTAAGTAGGTACTTATATTTTTAAGTAGAAATAAGATGGCTATTGTGAGAAGTTAGGTTTTTGAAAAATATTAATGAATAAAATTATGTTAAAACTAAAAACAAAACACATAATTTTTGCTTTATTACAACAAACCTCACTTAAATAAAATTAGAGTTGAATGAACTTAACCGCTGTTTTTCGAAATAAATTAGTATCTGTATTCAGCAGCAGAAGTTTCTCTGATTAACAATTCAAAGGACGACACTTTAAAGGAAATATTGTACGATGTCCATTCAGTAAGGTTAATTTATTATTATTTTTATTACAGCGCATATGTATACGAAAACAATGTTAAAATATTAAATATTATTTTAACAAGAAACATATGAGGTAATTTTTTTTATAGAAACGTAAAAAAATACGGGTAAAGTACTAAACTAAAAGAAAAGCGTGGGTCAAGAGTCATCACTAACAGTAAGGTTCTACACTGAAGCTACCGGGCTGATAGCGCCGCGTTGGGCGACCGCCAAGGCAATTTGCATCGCTACCCATTTCGGAACATCGCCAAGTCTAGCCGAACAAAACCACAGAGAATTACCCTCCATTCCAATAATAATTAAAGCAAACATTTCGCACACGAGACACATACGGGCCGTTATGGAGCTTATAAAACATCGACCCAACTTGCAATTAAGAAACGATGCGCACGTCTATTTGCCGACGCGGAAGAGACGCTCCGCTTGCAATGGTCCATCTCTTGCTTCGTACAGACGACGTGTTAGAGACCAGAGCCAAGAAGGTGACTATATAAATTAATATCTCTATGTTATTAAACAGATAGCCACTATTTATCATTTAACTCAATATTTTTATTGAACATCAACGTATAGAGATATGAATTAAGAGTTACAATTAAAGTATACTGTCGAATAATTTTGATCATAATTTTAATAGACATTCAGATAAAATTATGAATAATATTTGTCAGTTTACTTCATGTAACGATAATTAATAACTGAATAATAAAGTAAAAAAAAATAGTCATTTTTTTACGTTATCGTTACTTAGTTATATGCTTATTTTGTCGGCAGTTTATTTACGACGTGGCAAAAGCTTTGATGTAGCATTGGCTGCTGTCCACCGGTGAGACGGACGGCGCGGCGTCGAGAGCAGACGTGTAACTACCTCTGTTACCAAACAAACGAGATTATTATAGGCCTACAAACACACGGCTTATTACGTGACAGAAGATTTACAGACATCATTGAGATAATTTATATTGTCGTAGTTAAGACACGAGTGGTGACTTAATAAAACATTGAAGTTGTCCAGGAACTCTACAAATTGAAAGAAAAGTTGATAAGATAACTTAGTTTATAATTTAATAGATAATGAATTTAAAAGATTTAAACAAAAGCTTTTAAAATTATTTAGTGTAAATTTATATGCTCAAACAACAGAAGCCCAGATTTCGCCCACGCCGTACATGATCCTAGACTACGTAAGTGAAACGTAACCTAATAATAATGGCAGTGGCGCCAGGTTTGCAGCCATAACAGATTATAGATAATATTGTGAAATGGGATTGAGTATTCGTATTTCGTATAACCATAATCTCTTAATGAATCTTATAAAAATAACTTTATTCTCAATGGATATATTAGGTCCCTAAATATGAAATTGGCGTTGTATATGGAAAAAGGAAAACAAAAAAATTAAATTATATATTTAATCAATCAAAGTATGTACCATAGTTGCCTATGTACTTACGCCAATTTGTAGGCAGTTCAGGTAGTTTATTGATTGCTGAAAAAATTGTAGGAGCGTAAACCAACGAAATTTCTGAAGGCGATTTTGAATTTTTTCCTTACAAGAAATTGTCCAAATTTCGGAAAAAGTGGTAATCTGTTGGAGCAAGATCCGTGAAATGTGATGGGTGTCGAAGACATTCCAATCGCAGTTCCTCGAATTTAGCGTCTGTTGTGCAGTGTGCGGTCTAGCGTTGTCCTGAAGAAGCAGTGGGCTAGAGCAATTGACCAGTCTTGGTGTTTTAGCGGCTAGATTTGCCATCGCAGTATTCAATTGTTGACAATAGAGATCTGCCATAATCGTCTGGCTAGATTTTAGGAAGCTGTAGTGGATGACACCACACCGGTCCACCAGACACTTACCAATACCTTTTTCTGTGTCAAATTTAGCTTAGGTTTTATCCGGTTTTCGAGTTTTTCACTTTTCCAATTTGTTTCAAGTGAATTAAAATTATTTTATTACTCACACCCAAGCTTGCCGCTAACTCTGACATGGTTTGCAATGTATCCGCTTCCACGATCACTTTTAATTCTTCATTGTCAACTAGGGTCTCCGGCCGTCCACTGGGTTTGTTCTGTAGGTCAAAATTGGAACCAAAACGTTGGAACCAAAAACGTATGGTGTTTTTTTTTAAAGAAGCTTCCCCGTACACATCATTATTCTTCATTATTATTTGATACTTTAAGTTTTCTACATTGTGAACAGAACGATGTCAAACAAAAATCAAATGGCGCGAAAACAAATTAATCACTAAATTCGAGCCACAGATATAGAAGCCTAAATTTAAAATAATTTTGAATTTGGAATTCCTAACCAAACGCCAGATCTTTGAAACCACAGTGGCCAGTTCGACAAAACGCCAATTTCATAATATTATGTATGGACCTAATAGTATTTCTGGTAAGTCGTTAATGACGTAATATCCTTTTTTCCTCAAAACTAATTTGACATAGTGATTTCCATAATTAGCATTTTTTAATAACTTAGTTACTTAGCACTGTGTCATAAAAAGTATATCTTTGTTTGTCTTCGTGATTCATTTTAACTTAGTTTATCAATTTTTATCACTAAGTACTCTCTGACGAAAGGTATACGATTGCGATAAGATAGCCTATGACGACAATGTATTTTAAGATACAGTGTGACAATTATGACAACTTTTATTTTACAGATATTATAAAAAATCGGGCCTCTACATAAATCGCCAGTAGACGTGTGTAAGTTATAAATCATTCATAATATTGTTAAACAATAATTAATAATTACTTGTGATGGAAATTCCCACACCACTCTATACACAAATCTCCTCCTACAGAGTGCTTTGAGAGGGACTTAAAAATATAGAGTTAATAATATAGAGCTCGGTAAATTGAGGTTTAGATGCGAAAGATAAATACATAATATTGACTTTGTTGTTGTTGTAAATATCAACTTATTATGCATGAACAGAACGTTCCAAGTAAGTCGAATATAAAATATAAAAAATGTGTTTTTATTGGAAACAAAAGACATTTTACTTTTTGCATTTAATAAAATATTTTTTAAACACGTTAATGTTATACATCCGGATTCACTTAAATCAGTTATATTAAAATTATTCATTTTTGAATATCATCATTGCATGGTATGTATTTGATGTGAACTTCTCATTACGCCTGAGGTAGTGGGATCGATGCCCACATGGAGCAAATATATATGTATAGGCTATGAACTTGACTTCTGGCCATAAAACTTCTTCTGTGAACTTCTGTCCACTATTTAGCCAATACAATATTCCTATAAAAATGTATACTACAAAGTATCTATTATCTATAGACGATAAAGTAATTAATACGGTTACTGCTAAGACTTCTAAAATCAACGAGTACGGAGACCTTTTGAATACCTTCGATGTGTTAGTAATTTTTAGATATAAAGCCTCCATTGGACCATTTTTGATCGAAAATAAAAAAAACACTTAAATAGTCAATTGTCCAAAAAGTAATTCACGTCTTTGTTATGGGCTCTTGGGCGTGCTGGTTGGTCCAAAAACCTTAAACTTAATTATTCACAGAAGTACAGCATATTTATATATGATATTTACAATATTACTTTGTTATTATAACAAATTATACATAATAGATATGTACCTAACTATCGATGAGGACATTTAGTATACGCTGTAGAATTACAGCCTACAGGGTAAATCCACTGACCACGGAAACCTCACAAGTTCTTTTCCTTCTAGTGTTGAACTATATTTTGTTTTATTTTATAAATATGAATAAGTGTTGATAAGGCCCAATTTGTAACTCAATAATATTTTTAGAATAGGTATCTATACATATAATAAAATTTTAACGAAGCCGAATCTGTACATTAAATATTTTTTGGAAAATCTTATTGAAATAAACATTATTATCGATACAGGCGCCGAATCTATGGTTTTTAGAATTTGGTGATAGATAGCTACTAGCTAGTTATCCGGGTCAATATATAGAATACTTTTTACTACGGGAAAATGTCTTATTTCTGAGAAAAAATACAAAAACTGCAATGTAAGTATACAAATATGTAAAACCTAAGTATTTGGTTTTTGGTCATCTGAAAGCGGGCGGTGTCGCGGGCAATGCTAGTCACTTAATAAAAATAGACATTATATATTGTAAAAATAAAAGATATCAAATACTAGAGCCTCTGATACTCTTCTAGAGAAACGTTTTTACAAATTACTTCTTTAAAAAATCCGAGAACACAGGTGTTTTAAGAATTTAGCCAACTAGTATATATACGTCAAACGAAAATTGTAAAGTCCCCACCAATTTATTTAGAAAATTCAACAAAGTTGTTTATTTTCTTTTTCTTGAATCCACACAGCAAGTAGACAAAGGCGACCACCTAAGAGGTAAGTACATTCGGCGACGGTAAACATCAGATTATTATACAATAAATTGTGTACTTATGGTGCTTTCATATACACCTCCTTAGTAAAGAAACAAGCTTATTTTTAATTCATATTCAATATTTATGTTAATCATAAAAATGCGAACATATATATATAACATATATTAGTTGGTAATGGCGGTAATTACGTACAACTAAAAATCTTAGTATATACTATATAGGAATAATAAATAAGTTAATTAAAAACTTACTTGAGATAATATATTTGTCCTTCTGGAGTACGAGCTTGTTCCCAACCAGCTGGTAGAGGCCCAAGATCGTCTGGGATGTGTGTACCGACATCGTAAGATCTCTGTTTTGCATGTTGATGTGGTAGAGGCGGTTGTTGAGTTTGTTGTCCAGCTGCGTAGGTCTGCTGCAAACTCGCTGGTGAAGAGTGTGCTCGGGAGTGCGATACTGGCGCAGCTCCCGTAGCGGACGACGATCCAAACGCCGAATCCGCCGAATTTTCTCGCGAGTGAGACACAGATGGCGACTTGGAACCGGTCGACGGCGGGTTAAAGAACGACTTTGGGAGCTGTCGCATACGCAAAGGCACCTGTAGCGGTCGTTTAGAGTCGGGCTTTAGCACTGTGTCGAATAATGACTGCAAGACCGAGTCAGAATCCTGGTCTACGCGGAGGACCAGGTTCGATTTCTGTTCACCGTCCGAGTTGAGAGCCATGTTTGAGTCGGAACGAATAAATCTCGAAACCGACCTGGCCCACCGCTGTGACACAACACTAGCACGCTACGGGTTGGCGCGGCGCCACCCGACGTATTCGTAGTATAGCGCTCGGTGCGCGACTGACGCATGCCCCGCCCGCGCCGCCCTGCTCCCGCCTGCCCACGCGCACCCGCGCACCACCCGCTACACCCGCGCAGACCGGTCTTCGAGAACGATGCCCCTCAACCCGCTTAGCACACCTACCTCACCTAACGACTATCCTTCACTTGCATTAACACCGTCACAAAGCTTTGATAAACTTTACTTCTTATAAAATCTAATAATTGATTAAATACTAGTTGGCACTATTATAGAAACAAATAGAAATTAATGTAAGGCCTGTAATTATTTATTATAAGTCAAAATATATAAAGTGCACTAAAATTATATTATTTTATGGTTTATGATTTTTTTAGAAAGGTCAAAGTCAAAAAATAAAGCTAAAAATATCTTAATTATATATATATATATATATATATATATATATATATATATATATATATATATATATATATATATATATATATATATATATATGCTAGTATAATATATATAGTATTAGTATAATATAATATATATGCTAGTATAATATATAATCATAAAAGTATTTTATTCTACTAAACTTGAGTAACAAAATAGGTAACACTATTAAGTCTATCGGTCCTTTGAGCCAGATTACATATATATATGTATATATATATGTAATCTGGCTCAAAGGACCGATAGACTTAATAGTGTTACCTATTTTGTTACTCAAGTTTAGTAGAATAAAATACTTTTATGATTATATATTATACTAGCATTGCCCGCGGCTCCGCCCGCGTTCAGATGACCAAAACCCAAATTCTTAGGATTTACATATTAGTACACTCTTACGTTGCAGTTTTTGTATTTTATCTCAGAAATGAGATATTTTCGCGCGGTAAAAAGTATCCTGTATGTTGACCCAGATAACTAGCTATCACCATACGAAATTTCATCAAAATGCCTCCAGTGGTTTTTATGTGATGCGGTAACAGACAGACAAACATACAGACATAATATTTATTTCAATAAGATTTTCCAAAAAATATTTAATGTACAGATTCGGCTTAGTTACAATTTTATTATAAATCTATAGATTTATGATACATTTAAGGGGAGATCTTATTCATTACCTACGATTGTAATTCCAATAAATGCGTGGTCTCAGGTTCATTATGTACACGTGGTAAATATTTTATTTGAGTATACTAATATATACTAATATTATAAAGAGGTAAAGTTTATGAGTTTGTGAATTGTGAGTTTGTGACGTTGTAGGGGGTAATCTCAGGATCTACTAAACCGATTTAGATGAAATTTGGTAAGAAGATAGTTTGACACTCTAGGAAGGACATAGGATATATTTATCCTCGAAACCTATTTATTACATATTTTTATATTTTTATGCGAATATTTATATATTTTTATCCCGGAATCATCCCTTATGGGGGTGTGTCGCTATATATATATATATATATATATATATATATATATATATATATATATATATATATATATATATTGGGTGTGCCAAAAAATAACGATTTTTTTTTCTTCGCTCTCACCCCAAAATATCTTAGAAAATGTCCCAACAAAGCTCCTGTTACAAGCGGAGCTCAAATTTCTAATTCTAAGAGGTTCTCCATCGAACTTTAAGTTTTCCCATACAAATTGTATGGAAAATATGATTTGTAACACTTTTTGTCCTGCAAACTATGACGAAAATTTTTTTCAAAAAAATGAATGAATGGACCGTTTTTACTATTAAATTTACTACAAAAATTGAGTCGAATTTCTATCTTCAATATTTTATTTGTTTTATAGCTTTAAAGTTCAAATTTATGGTTTTTTGCATTCTTTAGCTAAACTGTAAGAGTTACAGAAAAATGTTAAATGGCAAATTTGTAGTACGTTTAAAATCCTATAAAAAAGTTCTTGTCAACTTTTTCATATCATCAATAACAACAAAGTTATAGATAGGCTCACGTATATTTATTTTTTCAAATTTTTGCTCTTACGAACTCTTACGAACAGGTGGCGCTACAGTCGGCGTGTCACAAAATTTTCATAAAAGACTCCATTTTCCGAGCAATAAATAAATTTAAATTGTTGATTAAATTAAATAAAAATCGATGTGTGTATGTTTCCTATGGACTCCAAAACAGCTGGTGTGATTTTGATGAAATTTACAGGTAATCTTCAGATTAGCCCAGCGGGTGATCCTGTGAATTTTGACATATACATTTATATATATATATATATATATATATATATATATATATATATATATATATATATATATAAATAAAAAATCTGCCGATTTAGGCTCCGGACTAATGAGTCTGCTGGTAAATCCACCACTTAAGAGTCTATGGTACGGATAAAATCTCGAACAAACATTATGTCTTACAATTAAAGAAGAGGACTTTAATTAACATCGTGGAACAAATGCAAGGGACATGGAAGAAAAGTATCTTAAGTATTGAAAATAAGAAGCTTCACTCTAAGGTAACGTTACTTTATTAAAAAAATTTAAGAATAACTGCATTTAATTTTTTTTTAAAAGAGGTGACCTGAACCGATAATCGAACTGACTAAAAATGCAATAAGATACACGTCACTGCTTTATCGAATTAATAGATGACTCTATGGTAATGATAAAATCTCTTGAACAAACATTGTATTGTAGGTATCTAACGAGTACAACCACGAACCCCGTGCATTATAACTTGCAACACCCTAAACACCGAGCCCGCGCGTCATGTTTTCTCCAATACAACCATGACATAAAAAACACTCATAATTCCAATTATATAGCACATAGTACTTTCAATTGCCTCGGTGGTGTAGTGGCCAGCATGTACGGCTGCACACTCGAAGGTCCTGGGTTCGAGTCCGGGGTCGAGCCAAGTTTAGTTATTGAGTCTCTCTGTATAGTAAATCTCAGTAACAGCCCGGAGTTGGGAAGTTGGCGGTGTTTCACCCCCGTGCCTCGGAGAGCACGTAAAGCCGTCGGTCCTGCGCCTTAACTCTCACTGGTCGTGTCGAGCAGTCGTCCCACCGGAGTATGAGAGTGACAGGAATAGAGAGTGCACTTGTGTCTGCGCGTACACTTGTGCACTATAATATCTCCTGTGCAGTTGGCTAGTCTCAATGAGATTGGCCGCCGTGGCCGGAATCGGTCGGGAGAACATCAGTAGTTTCATACAAACTTTCATCACCTATTTTAACTCCTTATAGGATGAATTTCGAAAAATGCTAAAACACGTATTTATTTTATTAAAGAGCGTTAATACCAAATTTCAAGTAATTCTGATCATAAACTATTTTTTTGGATTGTATTATAAAGTATTTTCCCGTGTTAATTAGATAATCTCCCGCGGTAAAAAGTATATGCCTATGTCACTCTTCAGCCCTCCAACTATCTCCACACAAAAAATTACGCTTATCCGTCATTCCGTTTCGACGTTAAAGAAGGAAGAAAACAAACAAGCCAACAAACACACTTTCACATTTATACCTAATATTAGTATGGATATGAGCATTTATGACAATATATAAAAATTTAAAATTTACACTTTAAAGTATTGATGAATCTGTAGTCTATATTCTATACTCTATACTATAATAGAGCAGTAACTTAGCGAAATCTGTACACGAAATATTTTTTTACAACAATGACTGTAACGTATTATGTACACAATAGAGACCCCAAAACAATAGTTATTAAAAAAATTGTCTGTTTGTGTGTGCCCGTTTCACGTAAAAACTTAAAAAGTAATGAACCGATTTCAACGAGATTTGGTGAAGTGATAACTTATTCCTCGGGTCAACATTTAGGATACCTTTTACGGCACAAGTTTAGTATTGGGGACCCGGCCCCTGGCGGAGTGGGTGGTATTTCTGGATAGGGGACGTGATAGGGAGTCCAAATATATTAATAAATATTTTAAGGAAACAAAAGAGTCAAAAGTTATTGAGACTTAAAGTCACAACATTTCCATACATTTTCATACATTTCTTTACCACCATTCGGAGTGGGTGGTATTTTTAGATAGGGGAGGTGACAGAGAGTCAAAATATATAAAAATTTTTTGAGGAAACGTACGAGTAAAAAGTTATTGAGACTTAAAGTTATAACATATCTAACACATTTCCATACATTTCTTTACCTAAATAAGTGATTACAACAGATAAACATACCTTTAACGAATAGTACGCATCCTTTTTTATGTACAATACATATTTTTACAACAATTAATGCTTTATTGTATTTAATATTTTAATAATTTCACAACAACACAAACAAAATGATCTTACATTTTGACAAAAGCAAAACTGTCACTTTGTTTTACATTACCGCTTAAATGACAACAGATTATATTTGATTATTTTTGCCATTTCTGTTGGTAATATTAATAAATAAATAAATAGAAAAATATTATTTTCATAAATAAATAAATAAATAGAAAAATATAATAAATAAATAAATAGAAAAATATTATTTATTCATTATTCGTCATATCTTGGTTAGGTTAGGTTAGGTTAGAACAGTTCCCCCCCAACGTGCGTTCACCTTGTCGTGGTGGGGGGGCTCAGTAGTGCCCGGCAATCCAACCGGGCGCAAAGCTAAGAAACGCACAGGGAGGTTGCCCACTTCGGTGGGCGGTGGGAGGTGGCCCTCTTCGGAGGGCGGTGTACCATGCGGGTTGCTCCTGGTACTTCTCTGATAGCAGAGTGGACTGTGGAGCAACCCCATGGTTGTGGTGGTCTGCTTCGGCAGACCTGCCGTCGGGGCGTCGTAGTTGAATGCGTAAGCGATCCTGCGACGCCCCATTAAGACGGGGGAAGGTTTTGTTGGGTTTTAGTGGGTAGTACTGGCTGTATTACGCCGGTGAGTCCCACACGTCGTGCGTAAATGCATTTCCCAACGTTAAAAAAAAAAAAAAGGTTAGAACAGTTACCACAACGCACGAGCCGAGCGAGCGAAGCGAGCGTGCCGCGGTAGCGGCCGGCGAGTGCCATAAATGACTAGAAAACTAGAAAATTCGAATTTCACGCAAAGTACAAATAAAGACAATCATCTGGAGATCATTTTGACAATTGAAAGTGACGTTTTGACATTTCTAAGTGTCTAAATGGTAGTAATGTCAAAATAATGTATGGAAATGTTGTAACTTTAAGTCTCAATAACTTTTGACTCTTTTGTTTCCTCAAAATAATTTTTATATATTTGGACTCCCTATTAGCTGCCCTATCCAAAAATATCACCCACTCCGCCAGGGGCCGAGTCCCCAATACTAAACTGCAGCCCCTTTTATTTCCAGAAATTCTTTCTTTCCCACGAGAAAACACAATAACTGGTTTTATCGAGTCCTTAAAAACCTTCCGCTGGCTAAACCTTAAGACAGACATCAAAATAATGTACTAAAAAATTATAGGTCTTAAAAAGGCCTACAGAAAATTCCTCAATAGTAAGTATATGTCTATCTCCTAAGGTACACTCGCAATAGCCAATATCTATTATTATCTATGTATACCTATAATAAAATTAACTTAGTCAAATAGATGTGCGCGTTTTACGCAAAAAGTACTGAATCTATCATTTCTCAATGGGATATATTTTTTAATTTTTTTATAATACTTACCTTATTTTACATTGCACATATATGTGTTTATAGTCATAGGTATAGAACCTACTTACCGTTAAAACGTACCTAGGGACGAACCCAAGCGAAGCGAGGGTGAGTCGCTAATAGTTATAAATAAGCTGACAATTTATCAGTGTTAGTAGTAAAATGTACTAATTTTTATATTATAATGATTTCTGACAATACCACGATATTATTACATTTACACAAAATTTAAAACACTATTTTAAGAATAAACATTTAATCGCACAAAACCATTTCTTGATTTATTTATATTAGTTGCTAGTTACAATCAAATTCAAAACTTTATAGCATTCACGGCTCATTCGTTATATTTGCACAGTAGAGTTGCCAACATTTTTTCCAAATATGTATTTTACCGTAAAAATTTTACGTATCGAAATATATTACATTTGCTTTGCATCGGCTAGCACCGACTTCGAAAATATCTGATTAGGTATCTATTCTAAATGAAAACCTCCGTTCAGTTATTTTTTACATTTGAGTGCCTGGAAGTCGATTTTTATATATATATACAAATAACCAATTTTCCGATCTCTTTTTTCGTTAATTTAAAGCAAAAGTTTTATTACTGAATTAGTATGTCACACGTCACTGTGGTATTACTTATTAGTGCCTATTGGCAACACTGTATGTTGGTTTGTCTAATGTCTATCGTTTTAGTTTGTTTTGAATTTAAATTTTAAAGTAGGTTTTATGATTTAATTTTTATTAATTATAATTTGTCATCCATGATAGTAGGTACTTTCAATGTACATATAATAGATCATATTTTATATAATATAATAAAATTGCGTAGCATTTCTACATAGTTTGTGAATAAAATTTACATTTTAACTCTGGTCGGTAGAGGATAGCGTTCTATTCATAAAGATTTGATTGTATTTCTATTTTCTTATTATTTAACAATTGCTTTCAAGAAGTTCACAAACTGTGATCTCTTTTTTATACATGTTCAATGTTCATAGTTTAATGTTTGAGTTTGCGCAATAGTCTTTATCTACCATACCTTTGAATTATATCAAATATCAATAAGAATGAAGTATACAAAGCAAGCACCACAACGCTATCTTAAAACGCGCATGCGTTATAAATGCATTGAGCAACAAAGCAAAAAAATCATTACCAAAAACACATTTCGTTAAATTCCGGACATCCAGAGAAAAATATACACATTATTATAATTTTTGAAAAACTATGGTTATAATAAATTGACCATGACGACGTCTTTGGAAAGTTTCGAAAGGTGTTGTCGACTTTGCGCAGAAGAGCAAGAAGTTACTATAATGATATTCAGTGAAGAAGCTGAAGCAATGTTACTTCAGAATAAACTGAATAAATATTTATTAATTGAGGTACTTATTTAATGACTTCTAACTTTTACTTTTAATTTAACTTATATTATTAGATAGTCAAGAAATAATTGAACACTTTTTTGTTTATTACATACAGATAACTGAAAAAGTATTATTTCCATTTGCCATTTCACTAAAATGAATTTTATTTGTGGAAATGGCATGTAAATTTCATTCGTTTTTATTAAAAAATATTTATCTGTTTTTTAATAGGTTGATGAAGATGATAAACTACCAAAAACAATTTGTATTAAATGTTGTTCTAAGTTGCAAACAGTGTGTGATTTTATTGACACAGCTAGGAAAGCACAAGAACTTTTGCAGAACCAAAGTCTATTACTAGAACAAAATGATGACATGGATACATTTAATACAAAAATAAATGAGGAACCAGAAATTGAAGAAGAAACTAAATTTACAGCTATGGAGGTTAGTGTTGACCCGATGATGGTTTTACAAAATTCTGAGGAAGGTAACTCACCAGATATTGAAGATAATGAGTCCAGAGAACAGGATGTGACTTATTTGCATGGAGTTGATGGAGAAGATGTAACTATAAAACTTATAAAAAAAGGTGAAACAGGTGAAGACATGAAAGATTTTATTAAGCCTTTTAAGTGTCCTTCATGCTATAGAAGTTATTTTACTGAGCTAGCACTAAAAAATCATTCTTGGATACACCTTAATGAAGAAAAAAATGTCAAACCTTTTAAATGTAGTTCTTGTGGAGAACAGTTTGATTACAAAATTGAATTATTGATACATTTGAAAACTCATCGAACTAGTGGAATGTGCCTAATATGTGGGAGAATGTATGTCTAATTTTATATAATTATTAGTAATTAATGAAACTAATATTTAATTTTCTGTCATGTATATTTTAAATTAATTAATTCAAAACAGTATTAAAGGTTTTTTTGTTCACAAAATAACTGAGACAATGTATCTCAGTTAGTAATATTTGTCAAATAAAAAATCCTAAAAAGATTGTCCACAAGACTATATAATGTTAAATTTTTATGACATTATACATTGTATATTATTATATTCACATTAATATTTATGGAGATTGACTTGAAAATTTAAAAGGTGTTGTCTATGTGAACTATGATATACCTGAATTAAGGGTTTATTTTTTATTGTAGCTTCAGAAAAGAAAGAAATTTAGCAGCACATGTGGCAGCACATTCATCTACAAGTAATAAATCTTTCACATGTAAAATATGTGGAAGATCATACAATACGAGCAGTAATTTAAAAACTCATAGTGTTACACATAGTAATGAAAGGCCTTATAAGTGTCATTTCTGTAAAAAAAGTTTTAAAAGGAACCAAGATTTAAAGGTAAATTCAATTTCAAAAATTAATATTTTATATTTGTGTCAATGATAAAAATAATCACAAAATGTGTCCATTATATTATATTTTATAAATATACTAGTAACTCACCCTCGCTTTGCGTGGGTTCGTCCCTAGGAATGTTTTAACAGTTAGTATGAGATACAAATCTTTGAATTTCTTAGCTTTTCTGTACTCTAATATGCATGTATTATACTTATAAACCTTCCTCTTAAATCACGCTATCTATTGCTGAAAACTGCATTAAGGTCTTTTAAGTATTTTGAAAGATCTAGGAGAACAGACAGCGGCAGCGACTTCATTTATACTATGTAAAGATTTTCAATACAACCAATTTTTGTAAAGATCATTATAATACAATTACACTTTATTGTACACCAAGAAAAAGATACTAACAAAATTTCATAAACACAACAAAGAAAAAATGTACAACAGGTGGCCTTATCTGTAAAAGCGATCTCTTCCAGGCAACCTTGAGGTGGAGGAGTAAGTTATATAAGTACAGTAGGTGTACACTGACACGAAAACTTTAATAAATACACATAAATAAATATTACATAAAATAAATACAACTAAACAGAAATCCATATATACATACAAGTATACCTACATAAATGCATAAATACATACTCATCTACATACATATATAATATAATGGCTTTAAAAAATAATTTTTATTTTATTACAGTTTCACATAAATCAACACACTGGTGCAAAGCCTTATAAATGCCCATACTGTGATAAGTGCTTTGCAAGTTCGGGCAATTGCTACTCTCATAAAAGTCGCATGCATCCAGACAGAGAAGGAGTTGAAGACCAATTTAAAAGAAGACCACCTGTGGTTACTCATGAAGGTCCCATAAAATTGCGGCCAATTGCACCAAAGCCTAGCCTTATTCAAGTGAAACCTATTATAAAATATCAATGCACTATGTGTGATCATAGCTTTTTGAAGAGAGATAATTTTACGGTAGGTTACTCAATATATGAAACTAATATTATAATTGCAACATTTTGTGTGTATATGTATATATTTATTACTTCCTCATTCTAAAACAACTTGATGGATAGTTACACATAGGCTACTGTTTGGTACCTAGGGATGTAAAGACATAATATTATAAATTATGCTGAAGTGCATTAATAGTCTAGTCACAAGTGCCTTTTTAGTCAACTTTTTTCATATTTTTCCGAGACTGTTGAAAAAAGTTGACTAATAAGGCACTTGTTGACTAGACTAAAGTGATTAATGATTTTGCTGTAAATATATATTGTATAGATGAAGGATATTATAAATTATCTAATCCTTTCCCTTATTTATAGTATTAGTAAATTGTATAATAATATATTGAGTTATACTTTTTTTTATTAGAATGCATAAGAAATATAATATTTTAAACTTTTTTTGCATTAATTTTACAGTACCACATGTATCAACATACAGGCGAAAAACCATTCCAGTGTACTTTTTGTAATGCCAAATTCGTTACCAGAAAAGGCCTTTGGCTTCATTATGACAAGTCGCACCCAGGGAAGGATCGCCCATTAGCCTTATTGTCCAAAAATATCTTATTGAAATAAGAATAAAACCAATTTTTTAAACTTTAAAATAAAATTAATAATAATGATTTGTGAAAGCTGATTCAGTTCGTTTGTTTATAATATTATTTGTGAATTAAAAAATTGAGACATTATAATACAACCATAACAATGATTGTTACTTTGTAATTGGAAAATGTTGATTAAAGGTCAATAAGCTAACCTGTTCTTTATTTATATTCATAGGTACAGTAATGAAATGATATATTTTGTTCTTAAAATAAACAAGTTTTATTTTATTTTTTATAACCTTATTATCGTACATTTAGTCGAAAGATATTGAGCACATGTGTAAAGGGTAGTTTGTTTCCACCGAATTATAACGCTTTTGATGTTTGTTTCTTAGAAAAAGTTCTAAGGAAAATATCGAGCTCTCAACATAATATTTGATCTAGAGATGATTGATGAGTTATTTTTTTATTTATGACATATATTCACTTTTATCGTTTAGGGAATATTATTATTATTTATTACCTTAATAGCCCTTGGGGCTTTAAGTTTAATATAAACTTATAAAGTTAAGAATTACGATTGAGATTATTGAGAATATTGGCGCCAAAATTCAAATGTGTGGCACAGGCAACACTTACTCGGGATCACAGACTATAGTTTAAAGCCCAACATGTAATACAGCCAACATTCAAATATATACAATAGGCAACGGCATCTAGCGAACGTTGAATCATTCAATGGGGAAGAATTTTGCCATTTTCTCCCGCCAGATGCTACGATCACTATAATCCTCAGTATATTGTAAAAAAGGGATAGATAGATCCACCAAGAGCTCGTATGGAACTAATTCATCTATTTTATTTGTCATCCATGATTGTAAAGCTCTATAAGGATGGATGGAATTTATTTAATTTAATTAAAATCACAAATTGTGCTCTCCCAGGACGCAAAGTAAATGGATATAATTTGTTCCGAAGAGATAAAAAACTGAAGAAATTGTGGGCTAAAGCATTAAGACGACCAAAATTGGCAAAATAACACATCTTTATCATCTTTTTCATTTTTTCATTTAAGGCTTTATTAACACCATTTTACAGAAAGCGATTTTAAAACTGTCAAATCGGTATCAGTAGTGCCCGGCAATACAGCCGGGCGCGAAGCCAAGAAACACACAGGGAGGTGGCCAACTTCGGTGGGCGGTGGGAGGCGGCCCTCTTTGGAGGGCGGTGTACCATGCGGGTTGCTCCTGGTACTTCTCTGATAGCAGAGTGGACCTTGGAGCAACCCCGTGGTTGTTGTGGCCTGTTTCGGCAGACCTGCCGTCGGGGCGTCGTAGTTGAATACGTAAGTGATCCTGCGACGCCCCATTAAGACGGGGAAAGGTTTTGTTGGGTTTTAGTGGGTAGTACTGGCTTCGCCGGTGAGTCCCACATCTCGTGCGTAAATGCATTTCCCAACGTTAAAAAAAATATGGTGAGCCGTTTAGAATTGAAAATCAGTAATCGTTGTCTTGTAGGTATGACATAAAACTCAGAAAGGGGTTAACCGTTAATATATTGTTAGCTTATTTATAATTCATACGTATTGTCATAAATGCACAGATTATATAAAAACCCAACACAGCAAAAACATTTTAAATCGGTGCTATATAATTTGAATTATGAGTGTTTTTTTATGTAATGGTTTTAACGGAGAAAAATGACGCGCGGGCTCGGTGTTTAACGGATGTTGCATGTCAAAAAGCGCGGGGTTCTAGTGGTTCTGGATAAAATATGTTTCATATCACGAGGTGATCTGTCAAAACTAAAATATTACCTATTTTATATTTTATCATCCATGATTACCTATTTGTTTCATTTTTGACATGGTTAACACAAGAAAATATATAAATATATATAGATCTATGAAGATAAGTTTCATTTATTGTATTGCATTTTTTATCAGAAGTAAAAAAATATTACAAAATATATCTATTTACTGATTATGAATAATTAGGTATTCGAATATTCGACCTTTGCGAATGACCTCAAGGTTGAAGAGTCAATAAAAAATTAAATGCGCATGCGTAGGTATCTACCGTCAGGCATCAACAGTGCTTGATGTTTCATGTTTGGCGGGCTGATAAGTCGAAACTCGAGGCTTCTTGATCACGATGAAATTATTTCATTCATTAGTCGCCCGTCAGTTACACATTTCTCACGTTAACAACTGTTGTTCCCGCAACTTTTTCATTTTTATCGAAAATGTCTAATGATGAAATAATAATTAGTAGAGAAATGGCTCGTCAAAATGGTATTGTACAACCTTTGCTAACTGGTAAGTAAATAAGTGAAAGTTAAATTTTGGAGCGAATTTTACAATTATTTTGATTGTTTACTGTTCAATAATTTATATTACAAGACGTATTTTTTACCTCATTTCAAGGCACTAAAGTTTTACTAGTTTAAATTTATATTTAGTTTAAATTGATATTTAATGCTTCTTGCAGATTTATATCAAATAACTATGGCTTATGCTTATTGGAAATCAGGAAAAGTAAACGATAGTGCTGTGTTTGATCTATTTTTTCGTACCAATCCGTTTCAAGGAGAATTTACTATTTTTGCTGGACTTGAAGAATGTTTAAAATTTTTGGAAAACTTTCATTATTCCAATAGTGGTGAGTAAATTCTATTATCTAAATATTTTTAAATAATTAAACTTGATATAAAACTATTTTATATTTTCAGACATAGAATATTTAAAACAAACATTACCAGCAGATATTGATCAGGATTTTTTTGATTATCTGAAAGACTTGACCTGTAAAGATGTTAAGTTAAGTGCCATTGAAGAAGGCTCTGTTGTCTTTCCAAGGTATGTATAAGTGTTTTTTGTTACCATTTTAACATTATATATAAACCAAAGATTTACGTAAAAGTTTTATAACTGATGTTGCAAATTTCTTGTATTCTGTACCTACTCATAATAAGTAAATTATCTATTCATTATTATATACCTGCAGTATTAAATAATTTTACAAAAGCAAGGCCAAAGACTTCTAGTAATAAAGTTAATTTTTTAAAATCCACTAAAAACAGATCTTGACATTCAAAAGTAAATGTAGAAGACTAACATCTGGTTTCATAAAATTTTCATGGATTATAGACATTTTTGTATAGTACATAAAGATTGAATATTAAAAACTTTTTGCGTGATGAGTCTTAATTCTGACTCATTAATGGAATTCTGTATTTTTCTGTATTATCTCCATCACACTTCCATAAGAAGCGTAATGTTCCTTCAGTGTATACAATCTGAGAAATTTGTAGTATACTGTGAATCTGTCTGGTCTAAATAAAAGAGGGGGTTTAAGAAGTATATTTAGTTTAATAGGTATGTGGCATGAAAGCCAGTTTACACTTTGTATTGACTCCTCTAGCTTCTTACATAAAAGTAAATAAAGAAATTATTATGAGATCAATTAATACTTTAATGTGTAATACAATATAATAATTTCTCTTTATTTGGTTGAGTTCAATAACGAGAAATAAATTATTTTCTTTAAAAATTTGTTTTATTATGATACATATCTATTATCTATCTTGAACTCGAATTAAAATGCTTAACTTAATTTTTACCAGCATGTTTCATTTTCTTTGACAAAGAAAATTTTGTAACATGTATTTGTTGTAAAATGCAGGTCAATGACTTTAAATGTGATTAAAGAAATAAATATAGATAAGGTGCTGATATTTTTTTCAAGTAGCACACATCATTAAAAAAAAGAAAGGTTCGGCTGGGTTTTAGTGGATAATACTAGCTTTTCTAGTAGTGAGTCACTACTTAACCACATGTTATACAATGGAATGCATAAATTTCCCAAAATTAAAAAAGGTTAAAATGTTGGTAAGTAGATATGCACTGAATCTCAATGGAACATTGTTTTTTTAAGGTATTGTGGGATCCTTTTCATATTCAATCAAAGACACCAACCACCTCTCTTAAAGTCCAGACCTATAAGACCTTCCGCACTGATTTTGAATTCGGTGCCAGCTGACAATATTTTAAGATATGAATATTTAATAGGTAAATATGTATTTTACGTATCGAAATAAATTAGATATGCTTTGTATCAGCTGGCACCGACTTCGAAAATATCTGGTTAGGTATCTATTCTAAACGAAAACCCCTGTTTAGTTATATATTTTTACATTTTAGTGCCTAGAAGTCGATTTTTTATGTTTTTTAAAAAGTTTTTATTGTTTTTTATTTTTCGTACCATCATATCTAGCGGTATTATCAAATTTCACCTCCAAGTAAGTAGTCTTCAAGTAAAATTGCTTCGATATACGGACAGGTGGACATGACGCAATAATAGTACCTATACAATTTAAATTTTATGCCTTTAGGCTATGGAACGAGATCCTCAGGCTTTAGTTCGTGTTTAATTATTTCATTCGGTCTTACCTTTTCTCAAAATCGGCGAGAGACTCCTTTGACAATTTTTCGGTAGGTATTCTTTTTTTGAAGTGCCCATCTGAAATTGACTTGGAATTATGTTTTAGCTTTTTAATTACTACTAGCGACTCACCCTATGGTACGTTTTAATTTTTTTTAGCGGAACCCTAATTCTTTTTGTAAAATAATAGTAGCCTATGTTACTCCCTATAACATCAGCTATCTTCCAGTGAAAGTCCCGTCAAAATCAGTCCAGCCGTTTCAGAGATTATCCGAAACAAACAAACAGACAAAAAATTAAAAAAATGTTTTTCTTTATATAATTTCATATGCATTTAGTTAAACGCTGTTATTTTGACATTTCAAACAGACACTTCAATTTTATTTACATTGCAGTTTTTGTATTTTTTAAAAAGTATCCTATATGTTGACCCGGATAACCAGCAATCACCATACCAAATTTCATCAAAATCCCTCCAGTGGTATTTCCGTGATGCGGTAACAGACAGACAGACAAAAATTCTAAAAACTATAGATTAGGCCTTGCTTCGATAATAATGTCTATTTCAATTAGATTTTCCAAAAAATATTTAATGTACAGGTTCGTCTTAGTTAGAATTTTATTATATATGTATAGACTAGCGACTCACCCTCGCTTCGCTCGGGTTCTTCCCTACTTACGGTTTAACGTTTTGTATCGATTTCTCAGAGATGAGATATTTTCCCGCAGTAAAAAGTATCCTATATGTTGACCCGGGTAACCAGCTATCATCATACCAAATTTCATCAAAGTCTGTCCCGTGGTTTTTCCGAGATGCGGTAACAGACAGACAGACAAAAAATTTGCTTTAATTTGATACATAAATGATGAATATACGCTATGTCGTATAATATCGGCAGCTGGACACAATACGTCAATATACTTATAAAAAATAACAAAGATCATCATTTTAAATAAATCATAGCATAAAATTAGATCTGACAGAAATAGATTATGTCTTTGCCAGGAAATATCAACAACTATAATGGAAACAATTACGCCTAATTATACATCGTATAATATATTGCATAAGTGTTGCATAATAAATAAATATATATATATATATTAACAAGAACCCTATCACTATTACGTATTCGTTAAATTTAGTGTATGTAGTGTCGTATGGAATACTATTAGTAGGTAATTTATTATTTAATTTAATATAATATGCTAATATTTAAAATATATAATATGTATATAATGTCTCATGCATTTGTCACAGTAGGTAACTTACATTGTGATGTAAGATTTAGTTAAGTAATATGCTAGTTGGAAGAAATAAGAGAAAATCGTTAGTGGATATAATAATAAAAATGTGTTTAATTTGAAGTTATATTTCAGAGTTCCCCTTTTGAGAGTTGAAGGCCCGCTAATTATTGCACAATTACTGGAGACTACGTTGTTGACTCTAGTTAACTTCGCAAGGTAAGTCACTTTACGAAACCACACTAGACTTAGTCATTTAGCTGAGCATGTTTCACATTCCTGCATTTTACTATAAAATCTACATAATTATTGCCCCTTTTTATAAATAGGTGATCATAATAATCACATCGAATAAATATAACAATATTAAATATAATGCAAATTTGTTCATTTTTATTTACTGTCAAATTAAACTATTAATATGTAAAATTGTAGAAAAAACAATCAGCGCAATTGTTTCTTAACGACCTGTATTGGTGGATATTTATAGCCAGTCATAGGTATACGAGATAAATTTAGTCTCCTTCGACATATTGTGTTCTCTTATAATACTATTAGCATTGCCCGCGACTCCGCCCGCGTTCAGATGACCAAAAACCAAATTCTTAGGTTTTACATATTAGCTTACTTTTACAATGCAGTTTTTGTATTTTTTCGCAGAAATGTGATATTTTCCCGCGGTAAAAAGTACGCTATATGTTGACCCGGATGGTTATCCGGGCTGGCTAGCTATCAATACTAAATTTCATCAAAATCTGTCCAGTGGTTTTTTCGCGATGCGGTAACAGACAGACAGACAAAAATTCTAAAAACTATAGATTCGGACTCTGTATCGATAATAATGTCTATTTCAATTAGATTTTCCAAAAAATATTTAATGTACAGATTCGACTTAGTTACAATTTTATTATATGTAAAGATTCCGAACAGTCAAAAGCTATTTTTGAAACATGACACTTCTACTTAGGAGATGTAGTAATATAAATACCATAAAAATGGGGTTATTATTTATATCGTAATAAATATATCTTCATACAATTCTAAATACACTAGCGGCTCACCGTCTCTTCGCTTGGGTTTGTATGGAATACATAGACTATATGGTTCCTCCCTTGGGTAGCAGCATGATGGTATATAGTCTACGGGCTATAGCCTTCCTTAATAAACGGGATATCTAATGATGATTGAATGATATAATATGTAATGATGAGGATTAGTACTTCCTGAGATAAGCACGTCCAAACAAACAAACTGCCCCATAATATTAGTATAGATACATATTCAAAATAAAAATAAAAAAATTACAGCAATCATGGTCACTGGATCACTTACTCTCGCGTCAATTTAATAATTAATTTTAAATATTTACGTAAATCTAAAGTATTAATATTTATTAATGTTACCGTAATATATCTATATTAAATGTTCACTTTAGGTTGTTTTCCAGAACGCTATCTTTTTATATCAGTTAGGCTCCACTAGGCATATTAATGACTATAATTTTCCGCTAATAACTGTCGACTCTTCACTTATTATTAAAGTTGGTTTTTTCCATATGATATTTTATGTACAATGTACACATATAAATTAATTTAAAAATCAATTTGTATTTGTTTTTGTTTAAATTGGTATTATTATATGGTTACATTGAAAAGCAAATATTTTTGTCTACATGTAAGTAATCAAAATACATTCGGAAATATCAAGTGGTTCCTGTGCATAATATTGGTAAACTGAAAACAGTTATTGACGCACGTGTCTGAGCAAAGTGAGAAGGAAGCTCGCTTTTATGTAAATCGTTAGAGTGATTGAAAACTACGCTCCAAATTGTAGGTAATATTGTAAAACTGAATGTTTTTACTGATAATGTTTTACCTACGTAACTACTTTACTAGGTTTCTAATGTAAAATAGCACAAATTGTCAAATAAGTATAATAGGTACAAGTTGAACAGTTAGAATTTGAAATATTTTGTTTCAGTTTGATGGCGACAAATGCAGCTCGGTATAGAATGGTAGCTGGGAAAAACATATCTCTTCTTGAATTCGGCTTGCGAAGAGCACAAGGTCCCGACGGTGGTCTATCAGCGTCGAAATACTCGTACATTGGTGAGATTATTTTCTATCTACGTAGGACTTGTAAATAAGTCTTTTGTGTTCACAAAATTTATTAATATCAATAATATTATAATCTCGTATACAAAAGTAGTATTATATTACACAACAACTGAACTATGGTGTCCAGGGTTATTGATTGTATTAGCGTAATCCTGCAGCTTATGTTGCTGTGAAACCAAACCGCTCGGTGCCTGGTACGGGCTTTCAAACTCGTACATATAACGCCCGACGCGCCATTGACTCATGAGAAGCCGAATACCAAATAAGTTTCTTTAATTTGGTGCTATCATGCAAACCTTGACATTGAATACTTTTCCCATTACTGCTGATAATGAATTTTCGAATACCTTTCATAAATTAATATCTATGTTACCAACTCATAGTGAAGGTCTGTCTACTTTTAAATCTGACTCATTTTTGTTTTTGAATAACCGCCCCCAAAGTCCATCCATTATTTAAAAAAACGTATTCCATTTTATTAACGTGCTATTTAACTATGCGAGAACTGATAGAAGTCTCAGTCAAATTACATATATACTTACCTACACAGACAAAATATTTTATAAAAAATCTAAATGAACATTCAAACTTCCAGGTGGATTTGACGGTACAAGTAACGTTCTGGCTGGGAAAATGTTTAACATACCAGTCAAAGGGACACACGCGCACTCGTTCGTGACGTCATTCAGCACACTCGACGAGTTGCATTCGGTCACGCTCAGACACGCGCAAAATGGCAGGCAATGCAACTTGCTAGACCTGGCCGTCGCCTGGCGAAAGCGTCTCTCCACTGTTTTAGACGTGTCTCCCGAAGAGGCCAGCGATGGCGAACTCGCCGCCCTAATATCCTATGCCCAAGCTTTCCCATCGGGCTTCCTGGCTTTAGTGGACACTTACGATGTGAAGAGGTACAATTTTCAAGGCTTACCGTCACGCCACAAGCAGCATACGAATGGGCATTCTGGCTACAATAGCAACTGTGGATCCAATGGTCGTACAGTCCAAAACCGCTCTATACGTAGTACGTGTGGATATAGCACGGTCGAACGCACACTGAGGTAAACATGCGAGACCGCATATTGACATTTGGTGTCTGAACTTATTATTATATTGCATCACTCGTTTATGGTTCATTCGTGACCGCCAGATCATACCCTACATAACTCACAGGCCACCACGTGGCGCGGCCGACTCGCCGGCTCACCCGACTCACCCGACTCACCCGACTCACCCGATTCATCCGACTCGACTCACTCGACCGATACGAGGTACACGACGCTTGCCGATGCGGCACCCCCGACTTTATGTACATATTGTTATCGGTACATGAGACATTTTGCTTCAGTGTGACGTAATGTCCTGCAACTTACAATAAATGGGACAACTCAGTCATTGGGCACAGTTGCATTGTATAGGGATTGCACACATTCACAGTATACTTTTAATATTTGCATGACTTTCATTTACACGGCATTATTTATTTGGGTAGCATTAGATAAGTTTTTGGTGCATATGTGGTAATTTTTACTAACAATTTGGTATCAATTTTTCCAACGTCAATTGAGTTTGAATTGTGTATAATATATGTAAAGAATCTTATTAATATCTTGAATTAATTGGTGTGATTTTGCGAAATATCTCAAAAACAAAGACTATGTCAAAACCATTGTTGATATTTAAAAATATAGACGCAAAGTTTCAAACAAATATCAAAAGTGGCATTGTAAGTGACGTTATAGTAGGGGAGCCCAAGAGGGGATTTTGGGATTTACTTAAGCGCGGCAGATTAACATAAGGGGGGGATTCCTTGCACTCTGTTGAGTATCACCACCATATATAAGTACTTTGTATAAGCTCGCGCGTCTAGCGCTGTCGATCAAAATATTTTAGAAATACTTGAAACCATCAGATTAAGCTGTGGTTAGTAAGCGCCCTTGAGTAAGTCCCAAAATCTGCTCTTGGGCTCCCCTAATATTAAATCAAACCAAGGAATAACACCCAAAAATCGTAAGATCTGATTGTGTTAACATAAATTCGAAATAACGCTTATGAAAACAATATGCGTTATGTCACGTTTTGTTTTGTCTTCCGAAAAACAATCGCCTTCCGGAGTCACGCAGATTAAAACCTACATATTATGTAGATTTAAAGTCGTATTAAAAAGTCATGTTATTAGGCGACCAAGTATAAAAGGTAGGTAAGTATAAGGTATTTTGAGTTTTTGTATATCAGTGGTCAAGCATTATTATAAATAACATTTATTTAAAGAAGTTTATGAACATAATGAAGTAAATATATTTTTTTCAATAAAGGGCTATGACGCATTTCTGGCTTGCAATAAGTGTCAAGTTATTTTAAAATAATACCACTTACTTAAAATTTACACGCTCAATATGTTAATTAATTAAACTCAAATTTTCTTTAAAACACTTAAATATAATTATGTTTAAGAATTAATCGGTAAAATGAATAAAACAATTAAAAAGTCTGTAGTAATGAAATAACATAACCAACGTTTAAATTATTTGATTTTTTTATTATAAAAGTGTAGTTCGAGTAAGTAGTGTAGTGTTATTATTTATTATCAATCTTCGTTATTTAGTATAATACTATAGTGAAAAGCACAAACAGATCTATTCCACGGGAATCGTTCATTTTTCCGGGATAAAAAGTAACCTGTTGTTTGACCGACAATATAAGGTATCAGCATGCCATACTAAATTAGGTGCATAAATTATGGTGTACTAAGCTGTATAAGTTACTATCGTTTTTTAACATACTTAATTAATTTTTTTTTACGAGAAGAAAAGTATCTAAAATGTTAACCGGGGATATAAGGTACCACCAGTCAAAATTTCATTTAAATCGATCTAACTGTTTCGGAGCTTAGCCCGTACAAACAGAGAAACAAAAAAAATGAAAAAAATCTGGATTGACAGCACGTTTGGCTCAGTTTGTAGTGATCCTACTTGCTGCGCCAGCGGTCGCGGGTTCGAGTCCCGCTGGGGGCATTCATTCGTGTGGTGAGCAGGAATGTTTGTACTCCAGTCATGGGTAATACTTTCTTAGATTTACGCGAACATTTGACATTTTAATTAAAACTATCTTTTAGGATTTTTTCTCGGATTTATTTTGATTTATGGTTCCCGACGTTTCGAATGCTCTACAGCCACTCCTTAGTCTCTCTCTCCACCTTAGTCTCTCCCGTGACCATGATTGGCCAGAGACTAAGGTGTTAGATGTCTCAAAGGTTATATAGTTGTTACAGACAGCCTACCCACAAATAACGCCGGGAACCAAAAAAATCCGAAAAGATAGTTATATTTAAAATGTCCAGTCATCGGTCACTGTTTAGTTTATATTTATATTATGTATGTATTTAAAGTTATATATGTGTAGTATATCAACTATTTGGTATCCACAATACAAGCCTCGTAGCTTATCATGGAAGTAAATGGTGATGTATGTTAATGCCCCAACATATTTATTAATTATTTTATGTATTTGTTCTATTTCTCTTCTTACATCCCCCTGACTCGGTTTTTAGCATTTTTCTTTCATGTATTATCTATACATTTATTAAATTTCCCTTGTTTATTTGACGTATTAATGTTTATTTAAAACGGTCATAGTTCATAAATGTTATTAAAGACTTCTAATTATATATTATTAGCTCTCGTTATGTTAGTAATAGTAATTTTTACATATTTAATACATAGTATGTATATTGTGACACTTTGATGAGCTGAATTTAAGTTAAAATGTTTATTTATTGCATCATTCACATTCAATCATAGTTTTTAAAGAAAGATTAACCTGAGATTAAGCGGTATTCCGTATTGGGTCTAATGGATTCGTTTAGTGGGTTTATAAGTAAATTAGCGAATCACCCTCGCTCCGCTTGGGTTCGTCCCTAGTCACGTTATAACGTTTAGTATATATTTCTCAGAAATGAGATATTTTCTCAGAGATGAGATATTTTCCCGCAGCTATATCATCATACCAAATTTGATCAAAATCCCTCCAGTGGGTTTTTCGTGATACGGTCACAGACAGACAGACATACAGACAAAAATTCAAAAACTAGATTCGACATCTGTATTGATAATAATGTCTATTTCAATAAGATTTTCCAAAAAAATATTTAATGTACAGATTCGGTTTACTTACAATTTTAGTATATGTATAGATGTATTTAGTGTGATTTATGTAGCACTTATAAAGAAAATGTTAAGTTTTAATTTTCTGAGTTACCAAGCCAAGGATATGTACTATAAACAAAAATGTTTCAATTTTTCATTTTATTTAAATTTTGGCTTTTTAAGAAGATATAGATAATGTTTTTTTTTCACATATTATTTTTGACAGTAGCAGTCTGAGTAACTGCATTTGAATTGCAGGTTCTACTGCTGCTTAGAGCATGTATTTACATCGGCTATACATATGTTTATGGCTTAATAATTCATATCCAATGTATTTTGTACGAACTTTAATACAACTAACAGAGTAATCAAGTTATATAGTACTTATGTCATCTTCAAATGAGCAATTGTCAACAGGAGTGGTTTACTGAACTTCTGCGCGGTAGCGTTGGCTTTGAACGATTGCGGTTACAAGGCCGTTGGTATTCGAATAGACAGTGGGGATTTGGCCTACCTGTCAGTGCTTGCGAGAGACACTTTCATTAGAGTGGCAGAGAAGTACCAACTGCCATGGTTCTCTAAGCTGACCATCGTGGCCTCCAATGATATCAACGAAGAGACAATACTAAGTCTACATGAGCAGGGACACGCTATAGATTGTTTCGGAATCGGCACTCATTTGGGTGAGTGTTTTGAATTTTGTGATTGAGTGGGGGAGTTTTGGAAGTAGTTTTTGTGATGATATTTTTTGAAGTTAATGTATGTTTGTCAATTAGTTTTTACAGCTGAAACGGCTGAAAGATTTAGATGTAATTTATTTACAGATAGACTATGAACTGGAGGACACATACGAGCTAATGTTTTTTTTTTAAACGACGTGTTCTGTTTAAGATTGAGTAAAATATTTTAAATTAAGTTTCCAATTATTATCTTTGGTGATAATTTATTATGGTAAATATTTACATTATTCATACACATCTCATACAAAGACATAATTATTTGCTAATATTCATTTAAATACCACTACTTTTGTACACATGAACGATGGCGGTTTTCTTTAAAGACATAATCCCTTTTTTCACGGTAAATACTAAAATGAAAGATAGCCCAGTATTGTAATCACGATAACTAGAACTTATCACGAATCCTATCTTATCAGAGAAAGGGAAAAATTATAATAAATTCTATATATAGATATCGCGCTCTCATACTCAATTGTATGACACAGCAAATTATGTCATGTTTAGTAAGAATTAGTTTTTCACATGTCATGATACATTAGTTTTTTAGTGTCCTACAAACAATCGTGAGTATATAGAAAAAATCACATTGTGTTCCCAGTTATAATTAATCTTCATTGATGTGATTGTTTACAATTATGAACATGTAATTATATGGCATTGTTTGTTATATATTATGAACATGTAATATGTCATAAATCTTAATTTTTAGTAATATTTTCTATCTATATAGGTATATAAAACAAAGTCGGGTTTGTTACAACACATATAACTCGAGCAATGCTGGACCGATTTTTATGATCTCTGTTCTGTTGGATTTGTCTTCACCCCGAATAACTATTAAAACATCGGAAAAATCCGCGAAAAAAAATTGAAAAAAATATATATTCCATACTAAGCGTCAAAACGTACCTAGAGACGAACCTGAGCGAAGCGAGGGAGAGTCGCTAGTTTTACATAAAACTATCTTTTCGGATTTTTTGCCGCGGATTTATTTCGATTTTTGATGTCCGAAGTTTCGATTATGTTTTACAATAATCTTGGTCACACTAAAAAGGGACACACACTAAGGGAGACACTAAGGTTTTAGAAGTCTAAAAGGTCATCATATAGTTGTTACAGAGAGCACCTACCCACAAAAATCTACAATGATTTTCAAAAAGTACCAAAATGGTACCAAAGTACCTTACAACATTTGTTAATTTTTATTTATATACAATTTTTATAATTTTAATGAATTTTATTAGAATGTCAATCATTACAGCTCGTAAATAAATTATTTTGGTTACAATGAATATAAATAAGTATTACATCTTTTTTAAATATTAATTTTTAATTTATGTATTCATGAAATGTATGTGCTTAAGTTATTTAAAATGTTTAAACACAATATATAAGTAAACCGCAAATATTACTATAAAACAAAACAAAAATCCTAGTCCAATAAATGAGATTTCAATTCGGGTGTATTTATGCTACGCCGAAATCTTTGCCGATGTTCACAATTCTTTATTTATTAAAAAAGTATACTTCAATGAATAATTACGTCAACTTTTTGAAATATTTTCGTTGCTAAAATTTTTTTATGTATTTTACAGTAACATGTCAACGTCAACCCGCACTAGGCTGTGTGTACAAGTTGGTCGAAATAAATGGGCAACCACGCATCAAGCTTAGCCAAGATGTCGGCAAAGTTACTATACCTGGACATAAACAGGTATTTGTTATTTTATTTTTATAAATCAAAGGCATTTTCTTTAAGTACAGTTTGAATTTACATTATATTTTACAAATTAATTGGTGATTATTGACTTAGTTGATATTTTATTAAAAGCAACTAACCTTGCTTTTTGAACTGTTCTGATTTTATTGTGCGATCCACAAAAATGCGTAAATTTTTCTCGTTCGTTTGTTATTTTTGCCAATTTTTTTTTATCACTTACATAAATACAATATTTACATATCTATTATCTTTTTAGCCTTAAACTTATTTTGTCTTATCTGACCACTGTATATTTATTTCTCTTATTTGATTATGCGACGCATTTTACGTAAAAAAAATTAAATTTAACTGAAGGTTTTTTTTTACCAAAATACTTAACTAATTTTTAATGATTATATACATTACACAATAAAGGCTTAAAGGCGACATTTTTTTCAAGTTTTAAAATCCCTGTATTACCAATCAATGACCCAAAACCTAAAAAGCATTTATGCAAAATTTCAGCTTCCTAAAGCAGTATCTTATGGTCGCCACCATATTACGCTTGAAATTTAAAGAAAATGCGAATATTTACGTTACAAATAGAACACTATTATATTGACGACACGTTCGGCTTAGTTTGTAGTGACTCTACTTGCTGTGTCAGAGATTGCAGGTTAGAGTCCCGATGGGAGCAATTCATTTGTGTGATGAGCACAAATATTTGTATTCCAATCATGGGTGTTTATATTTATAACATGTATGTATTTAAAGTTATATATGTGTAGTGTATAAATTATCTGGTGTCCATACCACAAGCCTCGTAGCTTACCATGGAACTAGATGGTGTTGTGTGTTAATGTCCTAACATTTATTTATTATTTTATTATTTACTATTTAAGTGTTTTTTAAGTGTTTATCTTTTTCACAAACGTGATACTTAATATTTTTTATACAATTAATAACTAAGAAGAACGTATCAAATCAGTATACAAATATTTTTTATTCTCAATCATATATAATTGATGGAAATATGTACTGAGTTTTTGTGGTCAAAACGTAGGCCTTATCATTATGTCTTGCTTGGGTTTCTATCGTGGTAGGAATAAAAGTATCACTTCCTTTTGGTCCACAAAAACACAATATAACCTTTTTAGGAAGCGTGACGCATTTTTCTTCTATCAGTTCTGGTGTATGATACTTGTTATTTCTAGCAAATTAGGACTTGAGAAGGAATGATGTTTCGCTATATTTTAGTGTCAGATTAAATATATATTTTTGTGTTATCTTGTATTGTTTATGGTCTAGATATTAAAGTGAATTGCCATAATTTAACGTATAATCAAATTTGAGTGTAGAATATCTTATTTTTATCAGCCAATTTTAAATCGTCTTCTCCATTCTACGCGATATTGCAAAATTTTGAATCAACTGTGACAAACTGGCACACCTAAAACTCATAAAAGTACGTAATAAATAAATACATATAAATTTTGCGATCATTTTGTAAGTCACAACACAATAATAATATTATCATGAAAGTTTAAAGACTTATATTACTATGAATGCTCCTTTACCTTTTCAATATTTGTATAGTTACAACAGTACACGTCATTCTGTTTAAGTGCAAACAGTCATGGCCGTTGGATTTGAATATGGCGCCAACATGTGACTTGTAGTACGCTGAAGAGATATACAACACATTTAATAATTGTAATCCTTTTTTTAATCTTTGCTCCTAGGCCATAGCCCACCAAGTTGGTCAAACGTAGCCTTTAAAATCTTTCGAAATCCAGTTCAGTTTTATCAGCAATTCAGCCTTCCTCGCGATTTTTTCTTTACCATATTAGAGATCTCGTGTGAAAACAATTTTGCAAATGAAAATTTCAGATATGCGAAACCTGATTCTAGATTGAATCCCTTTTAAATTGGTCCTTTAAACGAAACCGTTACTAATGCGTCTCTAAAACTGCTCACTACAAAAATTTCTTTGGACTACCTACACAATATCCATCACACATCATGATACAATTTGCACAGCAGTCAAGACTAATTAGGCAGGTTAGCGATAACTTTAAAGTCAATGTATAGGTACACATCTACTTTTGTCAGGCAGATATGATTCGCCAGATTTGATTTTATAAAAAACATTATTTTTTTACATTTTGTTTCTTGGTTATCTATACAGGTAAATCTCGCGACAAGTTTTTTTTTTCATATAAATTGTGTAATGTAATTGTAATTGAGCGGTTTGATTTAAAGTTTATTTTCTGCTTTTTAGAGCATTTAAATAAAAGTTTGTTTTTAAAATGTTTTACATTTTTTTTATTTCTTAGTTATTCGTACTCTTCTCAGCAAACTCTTTCATTTGATATCCATATCATGGGGGTACATAAAAACATAGTCTGCATATTGGATTTACAATGACGTTACTTTTGCTTATTGTGTATCGCTCAATAAGCACTTTCATTTGATGCCCATATCATAAGAATCACTATGAAAATGATAAATCACCATTTTGTAACTTCCGCCATATTGGATTAAAATCAGTATTTAACTTATCGTGCACTGTCACGAGAACCAAACGTGTGTGCCAAATTTCAGCTCAATCGGACACTGGGAAGTGGGTCAAATTTAACTTGCAAGATTTGATTAAAGACACCGGGACTGGTATTACAATAATTGATATAAATTGCTAATTAATGCGATTATGGAAGTCATTAGCGGCCTTTAAATTGTGTTTAGGAAGTAAGACTTCAATTTAGACTGAACGTTCAGAAAATGGAAGTAGATAAGCAATAAGCTGCTATAATGGGTTTTATTTGTAAATTATATGTATAGAAATTAATAATTAATTAATTTATATTACAGATATTACTTTCAAACAATTTATATTTTTATTTTATAATATCTAAACCTCTAATATAATAATTATTAGTAGAAAATCTAACCTACACCAATTCAAATGGGTTCAAACCTCGGAAATCTTTCTTATACATGAGGTTATCTATAGATATATAATAGTCCAAGGCTGAACGTATAATGTAGTTATCAGTCACGTTATATAACCCATAAATAACTAGTGTACAGTTTCCTTATTTATAACAGTTATAATATTTTACATTAGATTTAGCTAAGGCTTCGCTTGCGTTGTTTTATACCTTCTTTATTTATGCAAATATTTTAATTAAGTATATCTTGCTTTGTTATATGGCGGAAATCTTTTGTTGTCTCCGTGATAAATGATTCTTGCCATGTTATTAGTTATCTAAATGCAAGCAGTGTTTTAGCATACAAACAGAATTTTCATATTTATACTTTCCACTGTCGGAAACGGTTTATTCCAGAAATTATTATGTAGAAGGAACAATTGTACAAAAAAACTTACGATTTTATCCATTGTCCACTTTTAATTCAATAATAATGTGTAAAAACATGTTTTCTTACCTTTGAAATATATAAAGACAAACTAGCATAGCCCGCGGCTCCGCCCGCGTTCAGGTGACCAAAAACCAAATCCTTAGGTTTTACATATGAGTATACGCGGTAAAAAGTATTCTATATGTTGCCCTGGATGACCAGCTATTATACCATACCAAATTTAATCAAAATCTGTCCAGTGGTTTTCTCGTGATGCGGTAACAGACAGACAGACAGACAGACTGGCAGACAGACAAAAATTCTAAAAACTATAGATTCGGTCTCTGTATCGATAATAATGTCTATTTCAATAAGATTTTCCAAAAATTATATATTATAATTTAATGTACAGATTCGGCTTAGTTACAATTTTATTATATGTATAGATATGGTTTTAAACAGGTCATTGAGGCTTTCCATGCAATTTTTAGACTTAAATAGATATATGCACACATTCTGTTCTGTGCCCGTTCTGTGTTATACCTATTTACGAGTAGTACACTGTGATAAAATGTATGCTGTATCCACTTTAAAAGGTAATGCATTTAGGATTTAGTGACATTGTGTCTTTAATTTAAAAATAATGTTTACAATGTAATTATCACTGTAAGCTATATACATATACTATATACTTATATACTTATACTATGTATAGTGGATCCAAATAAAAAAAAAATACCGTTTATATATTACTAGCGATTTGCCCTCGCTTTACTCGGGTGCGACCATAAGTGCGTTTTAAATTGATAAAAATAGTTATTGCGAGTGTATACATTAGGAGATAAACATAAGCTATTACAGAATTTTTTGTAGGACTTTTGAATTTTCTAGTATATGTATTGTTTTGATGGACATCTATTAAGTTTAAGCCAACGTTAGCCATGTAAATTTCTAAGGAAGGCTCAACAGAACCAGTGGTTTCGTGTGGAAATGGAAGATTTTTCTGTAGTAAAGACAAACATAAACAGACAAACAGACAAAAATTCTACTAACTATTGTTTTGGGATCTATATTCGATACACAATACGTTACAGCCCTAGATTTAAAAAAATATTTCATGTAGAGATTACGCTATGTTATTGTTTTATTGTATGTGTATAGGTTCTGTCTGTGAACTAACATTATAAGAATAATCACAACCAGTTAATAATATATCCATTGTAAAAATAATTTTTAATTAATATGATTTACAATTCATTCCAGGCCTACAGGTTATTCGGGGCGGACGGGCACGCGTTAATAGACTTGCTGCAGCGCTCTTCCGAGCCCGCGCCTGAGGTGGGACAGAAAGTTCTATGCAGACATCCGTTCCAAGAGTCCAAACGGGCCTATGTCATCCCCAGCCAGGTCGAACATCTTTATAAGGTAATTATGCTTACTTTTTAGGGACCCAAAGGCCAGCCAAAAGGGAAATTGAATCTTATAATTTCATTATGTCCGTCTGTCTGTCTCAGTATATGTCTCAGTCATTTTACTGGGACTCTATTATATTTGGAAGGTGTGTCATATAAACTACTAGACAATGCTGTATTGTCTTAGTTACGTGAACTAAGGTTAAAATATAACATAATTTCAATGGTTGATGCTATGAAACCCTCAGTGACGTACTCGCATTTGTATGATTTAATTTATTATAAAAATTACTCTAAATTTTTATGGAATACATAGGTATTTTTGGGAACTAGTCAATATGTTAGGTCTTTACGACATACATATGTAACTCAAAGAGAAAATAGAGGAAATTTCCGTAACTTTGACAAATTTTGACAAAAGAATACTCCCAGCGGGACTCGAACCCGCAACCGCTGTCACTGCAAACTACAACAACAAAACGAGCCAAACGTGTCGTCAACATGCACATATATTTTAGTTAAAAAATCTCAACTTTATTATTCTTTAGGTGTACTGGAACGATGGACGTGTTTTCGAAGCTCCGAAATCTTTAGCAGATGTGCGGGAGAGAGTTCAATCCTGCCTGAAGACTCTACGCCAAGACATCAAGAGAAATTTGAACCCCACTCCATATAAGGTACAAACTAACGTAAGATTCTTACGTAATATATAATACGAAATGATTGACAAAAGGCAATATTAATTATCTGTAGGCGCATTTCATATGGAGAAATAATACATTATGTTCACTCTGTGTTGTCTATGGCAGAGCTTTCCCTACATACTTTTGAGAAATGAATTTTATTTCCGTTTTTTCAGCCGACTTCAAAAAAAGGAGGAGATTCTCAATTCGGTTTTTTTTTTGTTTGTTACCTCATTTTTATAATGGTTTTAAAAGTCGTTTTTAAATTCGAAATTATTATAAATTTTATCTAGGCGATTTCAGTTTGCCCAATGCTATTTAGTCCTTCCTTTTTTTCCTTCAGTCACATCACCCAATATGGTTACACCCACCCATATTGGTTGTGTGGTTAAAGCATGAATGAAATGAAACCACTATGTACTGCGAGTATGTACAGCAACAATAACGCTTATTTAAATAGGTTAATGCCATCTTAACAGTTTGCAGAAAGTAAAATTTAGTCTATAAAAAATATTCAATAATGTATTCAGTCTTTTTTAATGTCCCACTACTGGGCATGGGCCTCCCTTCAATACAAGAGGGATCAGGCCATAGTCCACCACACTGGCCAAGAGCGGGTTGGTGGACTTCACATGTTTTTTTCACGATGTTTTCCTTCAGCGTAAGACAAGTGGTAATCATGTGGGAAATGATTCGCACATAAAAATGTCAGAGGTGCGAGACCCGGGATTTGAACTCGCTTCACTCGGTTTCCCAAGCCAGCGCGTTACCTCGGACTTGTATTCAGTAATACTATTATTTATTATATCAATTATACTATTATTATTCAATTTATTCACAGTTATACTATTAATATTCAATAATACTATTATTTATTATATCAAATTGTTAACAGGTGGCTGTCAGTGATGATCTATATAGTTTCATCCATGATCTGTGGCTCCAAAATGCTCCCATCGGTGAACTATCGTGAAAGTCAAACCAACAAAAGTTTGATTGTCATAGGATCTTAATATATTCCAATATGTTGGGTACCATTAGTACTGTTTGAAAGTAAAAACCGTATGTGTCTTGTAGAGATGATGATGATTGTGCTAAGTAAAGCAATATATTACATTCTTGATAGTGTTGTTGGATATTGGGTTGCATCAAATTGCATTTTAGTGTTTGTAATAAATGTCTTTTAAAAACTCATGAGAATTACATGTATTACTTATCATGTATAATAGATGAACCTTGTACCTATGTATTTGCTATTAAATTAAAAATGCTTTAAAATTTAGATTTGGCCTCATTCTGCCTCATTTGAACAAATCGCATTGTAAAACGCTAACTCGTAGCGTCTCTATAAAAGATAAAGAAGAAAACAATTCTTTCCAAGAAAACAAATAGAAAAAAGAATAAAAAGCTTTGATATCTATTAATTTTAAATACATAAGCCTAACATTCATCACCATCTTGAGAATGAACGTTTGTACTTTTGAAATCTAAATGTAGCAGACTTCAGGTTCAATTTGCATTTTATATTGTATTCATTTTGCATATTAAGAAAATGTTTATATTGCCATTATCTTTCAAAGAGTAATTGTTAGCTTTATTATTTATTTATAGGAAAAGGTACAATTATATATAATAATCATAATAAATATATAAATAAGAAACAAATATTAAATACTGTTATAATACTTTCTTAGATTTACCCGAATATTTAACATTTTTAATAAAACGATGTTTTCGGATTATTTGCCGAATTTATTTTGATTTTTGGTTCCCGACGTTTCAAATGCTTTACAGCAGTCATGGTCACGGGAGAGACTAAGGTTTTAGACTTATCAAGACCGTTATATACTTGTTACAGACAGTGCCTACCCACAATTTTACAAAAATGATTTCCAAAATTCAAAAAATACACCAAAGTACCTATTATTGTTGATTTTAATTGTAAACATTTAAAAAGTATTTAATAACAGGAACCAAAAATCAAAATTAATCCGCGAAATAATCCAAAAAGAAAGTTTTATATAAAATATTAAATAATGTTATTATTTTTTGTAAGTGGTACAATGTAGGATTATATTAAATATGGAATAGTTTTAAGTGTACTGTAATTTTTATGGTAAATTCAAAATGATGATCTTTGGGCATTTGGTTAAATAAGACCTAAATTGCAGGTAACAATTTGTCTGTGATATATATCCAAACCATTATGATCCTACAATAATAAAATACTAGTCAAAATTGTTTTTAAAGATTGGTCCTATTAAAGATGCTATTGCATTTCTAGATCGTACACAAATAAAAATGTCCCATGAGATAAGGAACATTTTTTTCACTAATTAAAAAATGGACGCGACTCTTCGCCCGATTTACGTGTCTACGGGAAGCTTTACCGTAGCTGACCCTTGCTCAATTGAATTTAGTTCAAGCTTTCAGATCCATGGGAAAATTTCCCGCACTTCTTAATTTTTTTACATTATCTATAAATAAGTTCTCAACAATAAATTGTAATGTTTGTAATTTGTATATACATTGGTAATAATAATTAAAATAAAAAAGTCATTGTACTCCTTTTTTTTAGTTTGCGATGTCAATGTTGTTAGCAATTTACTATTTTAATAATTTTTCTGTTATTTTGTGTTCATATTTATGCTTTTTACTGAGAAATTTAAAAAAATGTCAGCTATGGGAAAGCTTCCGTAGACCCTTATATCGGGCGAATAGTAGTCTCTTCGTTAAAAAATATATAATACATTAAAAATTATATCTAATATTGTTTGTCTTTTACTAAGTAAAGACTAAGATGTATTTTGGGAACAAATACTAACGATTAACCTTCATATGATATATGAATGATCTCGATAAATTCCAATCGGTTCCTATTCACTACATGTTTTGTGTTGAATTAGATAATAGACCAAGCAAATATCTATATGGTTTAAAACCAAGGTCCGAGTGACTTGATTTGCTTGACTATTATACCATTTGAACTTAAAGGTTAATGTTTAACTAAAACATATTTTATGCTCTAAGCATTTAGTGTCATATTCCTTTAATATGAATAATGAAAATAAGCTTTTGGTGGTGTATTTTAGAAATAGTTTTACTTCCTTCTGTATGTTTTAAACAGAAAGATAAATATTTATATAGAAATAATGTGTTTGGTATAAAATACAATGAAGATAATATTATAGAATAATTAATAATCTAGTACGGTTTAATCTTAACATATTAAGACAGTTAACCGAAATCAAAGCTTGCTACATTTTTTAAATAATATTATATTACTAGCAGAACCCGCGGCTTTTCTTGAGCTAAAACTAAACAAAAAACTAAAAAGGTAGGTTTCATCCCAAATTTTTTCCCCCTTATGATATAGATGAATTTAGAAAAATGTTAAAACACGTATTTATTTAATTGTATTGAAGAGCATTAATACCAAATTTCAAGTAATTCTGACCAAAATATTTTTTTTGGGTTGTATTATAACGTGCTCTCACATAGGAATGAGATATTCTCTCACGATAAAAAGTAGCATGTGTCACTCTCCAGCCCTCCAACTACTCCACATAAAGAAATCACGCTAATCCGTCACTCCGTTTTGACGTGCAAGAAGGATAAACAAACACACTTTCACATTTATAATACTAATAAGTATGAATATCATATAAAACGATTTTTAGTCTCGGAATTCAAGTTAAATTGTGAAATGTAAACCTTTACCCGATTTGACTTAATTTGTTTGTTTGTCTCAATGATTCCTTAACCGTCCTATATTAAATTTGTAGCCATCGTTTATTAACAAAAGGTTTATAATAAAGATTTTTTTCTTTTGCTAATTTCTTTTTATTGTAGGAAGTGTATTAATTTAACTTGTATGTAATTTATTCTTAATTAGGCTTAGAAAGTTTAACGGACAAAAATATAGCTTTGTAAAACTTGCTTGTAATATCTAAGGCGGTATGTTAACAATTTGTTAATATATAAATAATATTTAGGGACCATTCAGGTATTACGTAAACACCAAAGGGGCCGGGTCTTTGCTCTGGTCTGGATGGTGATTATGTCAGTAGTATTTATTTATTGAATGTATTGAAGGGATGCCCGTGCCCAGCAGTGGGACGTTAAAAAATAAAGGGCTGAATACACATTTATTCATTTACTTATTTGGATAACTCTTGCTCATAAATAGCAATAAAGAAAACTGAACAGAATAAAAAATATATGTATGTACCATAATATTTACGAAACGGAGAGTATGTAAGGGCTACGCTCACTTCTGCTGACAATGTGGATGGAATTACTAAAATTCTGTTTACGTAATACTTGAATAGCCCGTTATTTATTTAAATAAGAAGATCGGTTTGGTGCACAAAGTTCAGAATAGTATTAAAAAAATGTTAGGTAAAATATGAAAAACAATTATGTTAATGAAAATTATGGAGCATAAGTAGATAGTAATTTAATATTAAAATTATTCTTATTGTAAGTCCATTCAATGGACAATTTTGAAACATGCTGGCTTACGTGATCATTGAAAACTTTTAATAGATTGTAAGGTACTGAATCGAATTGCACACACACGATTCTGTTACTGTAATCGTTTATAACAACCTTTTTATTGACATGTATATAGATTTTTTATATTAACGTTCGTTGTCAAGAATTATGTTATTTTTTATTAATTATATATATTTTTATTTTGCATCAATTTCATATAATTATATTCATAATATGCATGTTTAAACAAATATTAAAAAATAACAACAGTAAACAATATTTTTATATAAAACAAAATACAGTACATATTTAAGATAAAAAGATCATCAATCGTTTTAATGTGAATGTTCCACACTATAACGGGCCTATATTAAGTAATCTACTGGGTGCCTTTATTGCAGCAATGTCATGCACATTTATAATTAGATACCTATATATCTTACTAGCCATATAAAAATTTTAATTGCACTAAATGTACATTTTGGAGTAAATAAATTTACAAATCTTACTTTTTTTAATGAATACTATTATTCGTAGACTATTTGTAAGCTTTGTAAAAATATATGAGACAACACTATCATTAAGCTAAAAAATGGGATAGCCTTTTGTTTCTTTTGTTTTGTAGACATGAGGAATAACCATTCTTATCGTTAATAACACGGATTAGGTAATATTTCATTAATTCTGGGGTTAATAACGACAAACAAAAACTTCGCCTTTTAAAATTAATAGAAAAGCACAATTATTGAACTTTGAAATAAAAATGTTTACTACCTTTATGTTAACACGTTCAATGCCACTACGATTTTCATGTTGTCTTCTCGGATGCCGCATACATTTCACGTTGGACTCGCCAAGCGAGTCGCCGGCACTACAATATAATTTGAATGGACTCGCCACGCGAGTTCACTGGCATTATGTAAGGGTAAAATTTATCTTTTGTTATTATTGTGGCTGTCTTAGTCTCGGTAACGTTTGTATCGGAAGTATAAAGTGTTTGACGACTATTCAGTGTGTTTTAAATTAAAAACATGGCAAAAAACTCAAAGGATAAAATAAAAGGTAAGTTTGTTTCGTAATTTAGGCAGTGGTTGTCAACTTTTTATACAGTGGTTATTTTTAATGTTATATTTTGTACTAATAATATTTCTGAATAGCAATTTCGCTCTGAATATTTAACGCTGTCTCCTAGTTTTACGAATATGTTATCAACTTCTATAAATATAAGTATACCATTCGTTTTTAATGCAACTCTAATAATAAAAGGAAATAAATTCAATTATTTTTGTATTTAAAATAATTTAAACTGAAATAAATCAACATTGTACCTATTTATTATTATTTAATATTATTTACAATAATAGATAATACGATACGAGATGAAAAAAATTTTTTTTTGTAAAAAATCTTTTAATTTTCTTCTATACGAAACTTGTCCTAACAATAAAAAATACAAAAAAAAAAGAAATATCC